AACGATTTAATAATATTATTTATTAAATAGTTTAAAATAATATTTTTAGGCGATTTAATAAATAATATTATTAAATCGTTTAAAAATAATATTTTTTAGATGATTTATAGACGATTTATAGACAATTAATTATTAAATCGTTTAAAAAATATTATTTTTTAACGATTATTTATTAAATCACCTAAAAAATATTATTTTAACCGATTTAATAAATATTATTATTAAATCTTTTAAAATAATATTTTTTAGACGATTTATAGACGATTAATTATTAAATTGTCTAAAAAATATTATTTTTAAACAATTTAATAATAATATTTATTAAATCACCTAAAAAATATTATTTTTAACTGATTTATTATTAATTATTTAATCATCTAAAAAATATTATTTTTAAGTGATTAAAAATAGTGATTTAATAAATATTATTATTTAAAACGTCCAATAATATTATTTTTTAGACAATTAAATTGTTTAATAATATTATTGGACAATTTAATTATATTAGGCTCGTAAGCCTTTATATTGGGCTCGCGAGCTATATATTAGGCTCGAGAGCCCAGCGAGCCCAGTCAAGCCTAGTCAAGCCGAACCTTAGTCAGGCTCGAGCTCGCGAGCCCAGGGCTCGCAAGTCATGAGCCTATAATATTAGGCTTGGCTTGGCCGGGTTCGACCGGGTTCGATGGGCTCGCGAGCCCTTAAGGCTTATGGGGAGCTTTAGTTGTGATCCTGTTAATCTTTTATTGGCATAAATTATAACATAATCTTATTTATTTTTATCTTTTGGCTAATATTGCTTCCAATTTTGATGCTGATCCATCTGTATATAGGTAAAAAGTTTTATTAAATTCTGAATATTATAGTACTGGTTTTGAAATTAATACTTGTTTTAGCTTTTTAAATATTTCTTCCTGTTTTTTTTTCCACTTAAATGATATACCCTTTTTGATTAATTCATTTATTGGTTTTGCTATTTCTGAGAATCTTTTTATAAATTTTCTGTAATATGATACTAATCCTAAAAAACTTTTAATATCAGTTACTATTTTTGATTAAGGAAAATCTTTAGCTTTTTCTATTTTTTTAAGATCTGATAAAATTCCTTGTTAATTAATTACATGTCTTAAAAAGATAAGTTTTTTTTCTACAAATTTATATTACTGAATTTTATTTTCAATCCTATAACCTTTAGCAATTGTAATACTTCCTCTAATTTTTTCAAATGTTCATCAAAGATTTTTGTGTAAATGTTTATATCATTCAAATATATAACTACTTCATTTCCTAATACTGAATATGACACTTGATTCATAAGCCTTTAAAATGTTACTGGTACATTTGTTAGTTCAAAAAGTATAACATTAAATTCATATATTCTATGTTCAGTAGTAAATACTATTTTATCCTTATTCTTTGGATCCATTTCTACTTGCCAATATTCACTTGTTAAATCTAAAGTGATAAAATATTTGACACTTCCTAATTCTTTCAACATCTCATCAATTCTGGATATAAGATATGTATCCTTTTTGATTACCTTATTTAGTTTTGATAATCTATATAAAATCTTATTTTTCCATTACTTTTCTTTATTAACACTACTGGTGAAGCCCATGCACTTTTTAATGGTTGTATGATTCCTTTCTTTAATAATCTTTTAACTTCCTCTTTTATAAACTGTTTTTCTGTTCAACCTGTTTTGTAAAATCTTTGTTTTAATGGTTTTTCTTCTGGTTCAACTTCTATTTCATGTTTAACTACATTAGTTCTTTCTAGTTGATTAGTTTCTTCTGCAAATATATTTTTATGTTTATTTATTAGTCTATTAAATTATTGCTGTTGTTCTTCTATTAATCTTTCTTTTTTTATTTCATCTACTCTTTTTATTTTACTTGTTTAGTTCAAAAATATTTCTTCTGCTATTATTTCTTCTAGATTTTTTTTCTCTAAATTTTTATCTCTCAAGTGTGATCACTCCTCCTCTTCATAAATTTTAGATTCACTATCTATTTTCTCATCATCAACCTCACTCTCTTCATTTATTTGTTTTTGCTTAGTGCAAGGTGCATCTAATAATTTACTTCTTTTACTAGTTATAGTTATTATTTCACAATTTGATGCTTCCTCTAGTTCATACTCTAATTGTTTAATTGTATCTCTAGTAACAATACTTGTAGCTGCTCCACTATCAATAATTGCTGGTATATTATTTCTATTAACTTCTACTTGGTATTCCAATATAATAGTTTTAAGTATAAAATTTTGACTCACTAATTTAACATTAAATTCTTTACACTTTCTTAATACTTCCAATAATTTTTTTTTCTGTTTTGGATCTAATTGTAATACTTGTGATAATGTAAGTTCTACTTTTTGTTTTTTTAATTGTTTTACAATATCAAATTCTGGTTCTCTTAATAATAATGACATTTTCTTTTTGTTTTTCTTAATAACTGTTTCAGATTTTTTTTATATAATTGGTTTTATTTTCTTTATTGTTATTTTTTGTTGATTTATTTCAAATGTTTTTAAGATTCCTGTTAATTGAATTTCCATAGGTGTATAAGTTGTTTCTATTATATTATCAGTTCTTGATTTTTTAGTTTAGAAATCGTCATCACTATTACTATCTCTTTTATATTTTCCAACTAATATTTTAATCAATTCTTTAGTTACTTTATTCTTTGAATCATTATTATCTTCCGTGTTAACATAATTTATATAAGTCAGTTGTCTTAGTTTTAATCTATTTTAATTCTCATTTCTTTAATTATTATTTTTAAAATTATTATTATTGTTAGAATTATTATTATTGAGATTACTATGATTATTATAATTGTTTAAAATATTTGAATTTTATTGTTTTGGCCTCTGTACTTGTTGTTTACAATCTCTACTAATATGTCTTAATTTTCTACAATTGAAATATCTTGGTTCTCTATATCTATAATTAGGTGAGTAATTATTATTTTTTAAATAACTATTGTAATTATTCCTTTCTTGATTATTTATTCTTGCATTTGAATTTTTAATTGGACCATCTTTTTGGTTAACTCTTTTATATCATTCTCTGGTTTATTTTTTCTTCTTCTTTCTTTTTTAGTTTTTCCTTAATATAATTCTTTTTAATTTTTTTTTTAACTTCTTTCTCACTTTCAGATTCAGATTCAGTTTTTATTTCATATCTTTTTTCATAAGTTAATGCAAGTGAAGCTAATTGTGGAGTTAATCCTCTTAAGAAATATTTAGCCTTTCTTTCTGAAGTTAAATCATCAATTCTTTTATAAATTTTCTTGAATTGTCCAACGTAAGCTTATAAAAATTCATTTCTTCTTATCCTTAAATTATTTAATTCACTCAAAACTTTATTCTTCCATCTTTTATTATTAAATATATTTCAAAATAATTCTTATATTTCTGTTCAAGTTAATTCAAGATCTCCTTCTACATTCATTAATTCTAATGACCATTCTTCAGTATCTTTTTTTAAGTATATTTCTATAGCATTTCTCTTTTGTACAGTCGCGTCGTAAAGTAATGCCCAATTTTCTGATATAACAATATGCAATATTTCACAACTGATTTCTCCTTTTTTTTTTATGTTTTTTTATAATTGAATAAATGTTATATAACATTTTTTCCAGTTAAAAATGACATTTACTTATACCCAGTTGACTTCTCAAGATAAAGGGAAAATACTGACATATACCGAAACTTTAAATGCCACTCAAATTGCAAAAAAATGGAATGAGATCCTACTACAATATGTAGGTTTATTGCCAAGTACAAGAAAACTGGGAAAACTGAAAATTTATCATGATTAGGATGACCACTGGCCCTTAATAATGATGAAAAAGATGCACTTGTAAACGAAGCCACAAAAATATGATATGCACCATTGCATGAAATTATCAATAAATTAGGTTTAAGCTGCAGTTTAACAACTGCTAAAAAAACATTATATAATGCTGGGATTTATTCCCACATTACAGCAAAAAAGCCATTTATTTCAGAAAATAATGCAAATAAATGTATTAGTTGGTGCGAAGAAAATAAGAACAAATCTGTCTATAATTGATCACATATAATTTTTTCAGTTGAAATAAGTATGGAAATTGAAAAACAATCATGACAAATAAAAGTATGGTGACATATAGGAGAGAGATATGATATTGGGTATTTAATACCCACTTTCAAAAGTGATCGATGCTCAGTAATGGTATGGGGATATTTTGTGGGTGAAATAAAAGGACCATTAGTATTTTGTGATAAATTTAAAGAAAAAAAGAAAAAATAAATGCAGATACTTATATTAGAATTCTAGAGACTCACCTTTTATCATTTTATAATACAGCTCATAAGTTAATAGGTGAAAAACTGGTGTTTCAACATGATAATTCTTCAATTCATATTACAAAAAAAACTGTAAAATGGTTTGAGATAAAAAAAATTAAAAATATGGCCTGGTCAGCAAATTCTCCTGACCTTAACCCTATAGAAAATATCTGGAAATTGTTAAAAGACAATATCCAGAAACAAAAAAAATTTTCAAAAACCGTAGATGAGCTCAAGACTGCTTTGAGTGAGGAGTTGTCAAAATTTGATGTATCAATTCTTAGGAGTGTTGTAGACTCAATGTCACAAAGAATTGAAGTAGCATTGAATGCAAAGAGAAGACCAACAAAGTATTAATTAATTCTAAAAAAAAAACTTTATATACATAATATAGAAATAGAATAAATCATGTACATATCAGAATTTTTTTTTTTTAATAAAAATCAGGTGTTACTTTGCGACGTGACTATACATCTGTTTTCCATCTATTAATTCTTGTAACCTTTTTAATTCACTTATCTATTCTAAGTAAATCTTTCTTTTCATCACTATAAAATATTCTTGGTTTGAATAATATTTAGTTTGCCATTCTTTCTTTTAAATTATTGTTGTTATTTTCTTGTTTTTCTTCTTTTGATTCTTCAGATTCTAAGTTGTTGTCTAGAATGTAATTGTCTTGATCTTCTATCACTTTGACTTCTCTTACTTCTTCAATTAATTGTAGTTTTTCTTTATCAAGTTTCTGAAATTCTTCTTCAAGTCTTTCTATTCCTGAATAGTATTTTTCAACTAAATTTTCACTTGGTGTTTCAATGGAATATGGTATTACTATTTGAGTGCTTTTAACAAAATTTAAGTTATATTGTATTTGATTCATTTTCTCTATCAATTGTTTAAGACTTAGTTTTAATTTTGTTATTTGTTTAATAGGTATGTATCTCTTTGGTTTATATGAGTAATCCAGATTTAATTCTACAAATTTTTATTTTATACTTCTACTAGTTTTTGTTTCAATTTTTAGCAAAGTCTTTTTTAGTCTTTATATAATATTTTCAATGTTGATCTTTTGTCAAATTTTATATTTCTAGTTTTATTATTGGGTAAATTTTCATCTATATAGGATTTATTATCAATTTTATTGATCTTATTATCTACAAGTACAGGTCTTATTGATATTGTCTAATTTTTTAGATCTTATTGATATAGTTCTATTCTTTTAACAAGAAAGATATCTAACTCTACAGTTTATATACTTATAAGTATCTTAGGTACGGTCTATTACTTTTCTTAAGCTTATCACCTAACATTAAGACTTATACAATTTATTGCTTTTTGGGTCTTATTACGTTACTTGAAAAATATCTATACACTATTCAAATAATTACAAAAAAATTTGAATAATACGAGGGTGATCAGTCCTTAACATTCATAACTTTAAAAATAATGAAAATTCTTTCAATTCAATTATATTTAATCCAATTAATTTAACTTATCAGTAGTGACAGAATAAATCCTGAAGATATAATAAGTTTCATTAATTGGTATCAATATTATTTACTATGAATTTTTCCAAAAATTTAACAATAGTTCTCCTTATTGTTTCAATCTTTTCCAATTCTTTTTCTATTCTCCTTATAATTATTTCTTCTTACAAGAACATCCTCAGCTTTTAACTTTACACCTTTTTTACACTTCTATAAATATTTTTTCTTTTATAAATTCTTAAGGAAAAACATTCTCTCTATATATTTCCAATAAATTTTTCTCAAAAATATCCTTTATAAATCTTCTTTTTCTAAAATACTTCCTTCTACAAAGTTTTTTCTTTCTGCTAGAAGATACCAAACTGTCACAAATGTTATTATTAATATTTACTCAACAGTCTTTTTAAAAAGTTTATAGTCTTTTTCCATAAGTACAAGACTTCCAGTTTAATTATTCCTTAAATTTTAAAAAGTACCAGTTAGTTTTTAGATAGAATTAACAAACTAATATTTATCTACTTTAATTATAATACATCCATTTCAATATTATATCTCTTAACTTCTAAACTTCCTTAATATTATCTATTCATAATTTTAGCATATCTTCCTTATTAATTTATTTTCATAATTTCATCATATCATCTTTAAATAATATATCTTTATAATTATACATGTTTTCAAAATTGATTTTGAATTTTTGAGATATTTCGACTTTTTGAGATTTATGCAGAATCTATTCTATATATGGAAATAAA